CAAAATCACTGATCTATTCATTAAATATACGAACATCATTATTAACTCGATATCATTCTCCTCGCATATTTTAGCAGCATTTAGGAAATTAATTAAAAACACTTTTTTTCAGCTACAACTTTTTATTATTCATATAAGTCAAATGAGAATTAAATGAAAATATGATACTCAATAGGACGCAATGGAGAAAAAGGATTCATATAGTCGATCCCACTTAGTGGGATAAAAGCTTGTTGTTGTTGATAAGCCAAATGAGATTTAAAACTAACAGATGCAAATACAGTATAAAGATATGAACAATGACGATGGGAGTTAATAAACCAAAAGAAATTCAACAAACAAAGCCAGAGGACCTCCTTGATAACAAGTACATTAGAAGCTCGTTTCAGATACCATAAGAAGCAGGTATGGTATCCTTATTAAGTTTGAAAGTTCATAAAGATATCCTAAATTAGATGAGAAGGGACTATTCTAATACAATTGGAGAAGCCAAAAGCATGAAGAGTGCATGCACAGTCACTTGAAATTGAGGTGCCTTTATAGCTTAAACGAAATGGACAGGTTATGAAAACTCTCCTTTAGTAAATTCGCCAAAATAAGAAGAAAGGGAAAGAATGAATTGGAGTAGAAGCATTTGGTGTCACCATTACTCATCAAAGAGAGTTTGTTGAGAGATTTCACCACCTATAATTGCAAAGAAGATATAGTGAAAAATCTTAACATGAATTAAAGAGTAGATGTAGGTCTTCTGGGGTGGCCAAACAACTATAGATTGGTTTGTATTGTCTACTTTTAATTTTTGCATTCCATTTTACTACTTTATGAAAATAGAATTAGATTGTATTGTGATCGAATTTTATTAGTTAATTTTACTCATCACAAGATTTCCTTTAGAATGTTTCAAAAATCAATATATTAAAATAACCTTATTCACCCCCTCTTGATTTGTTTCATTGCCTTCAAGTGGCATTAGATGAGTTAGTTCCTTCCCTCTCTCTCCATGAAAAAGTAATAAAATCATTTCCACATCTTCATGACCCGCAAGCATTTAAAAACTATTTAAAATGTTACCATTGAAATGCAAAACATCCATCCCAACCTCTACATCATTAAATTTAAAAAAAAAACATAAACTACAAAATATGATTAGAGTGTTATGGATAGGATTACCGGTTGATTCAACCTATCTAGATAGAAGTTGATAGGATAGAATTCCTTCATATGTAGAATTTCATGTTATTAGTTTTAGGTTTTTTTTCTATTAATTTCTCTTAACTATGCATATAATTTGTTCTTCAAAAACATGTTGAAATAGCTCCAAACCATCCTCATCATGTTGAGGCTCCATGTTTCTGTGTTCCACCACATGAGGGCATGGCTAAAAAGCCTCAACATGTGAAATTTATTTTCTAGGCATGGTATTATCAATTGAAAGTAATCAAGGTCATAAGAAATTTGATCCATCCATTGAGTTTCTCAACATCAACAATTGTATTATAGCCGGCAAGTCAGGTATGTGCCAACCTCAAATGGTAGTCATGTCTCATATGAAAATTCTTCAAATAAACTGCATCTCCATAACCTCTTCATCTTAAGGATTTTTATCCTATGAATTTGTGGTGCATATACCATGGTTTCATGAAAGTGCATATGCCATGGCTCCCGTATGGTTAGGTGGATGCCACGATTCATCACAGTTCCAAATTGTTGTAAGGCTAGAAGCTGATGGAACTTTCCTTAAAAGGTCTTCAATTTATTATCACAGGTCATCCTATCATTCTTCCTAATGGTTCTCAAGCCTTTTAACATTTGTCGGCATTCTCGATGGACTTGCTCGACCTAATTAGAAGAAAAGGTTTTAAAACCTTAAAAAATTTCATGATGTAATAAGAAGTAATTCCATTGAATTTTAAAGGACTAACAAGCATTCCAAAATTATAAAATTTAAAATTAAGATAACTACCAACAGATGATTGAAAGATCCTCCCATGAAGATATTAAGACCCAAGATTGAGTCTTTTTTATAGACTCAATCTTGGGTGGCCATAATGAGTAAGCCCGTGGCTAGTCCACTTTAAAACCTCAGTTGGGCGTGATTTTATATTCTAATGATCCTTGTGATGTAGAGAGAGAATGAAATAGGAAGATGTAGAGGTGCATCACGCTCTACATCTTCTCATTCAATAGAACTATTTAATGTATGGTTTTAGAAAAAAAAATAATAACAAACAAACTTCCTCAACTTGATCCATAATTATTATGTTGAATCTTAATATATTCAAAGATGAAAATAAACTTAACAAGAATCCTTTTTCCTACATAATAAAAAATGATATAAATTTTTATTCTTCCATTTGATCATATACCCACAAACACTAAAAAGATCATCATAACAAGTAGATAAAGGGTAGGCAATGTTGTCAATATATGATATAAAAATTCCAGTTCTTGGAGAAGATAAAAGGTAGAAGTGTAAGCGAGCCGAGTCAGCTCGCGTGCTCGCTCGACTCATTAATGAGTTCGCAAGTCAAGTTACCAAGCCATGAGCTCGAATTCAAGCTTATCTAGGCTCGGCTCGTCGGCTCGTCGGCCCGCAAGCCAGCTTAACTAGTTTATCGATGGTCAAACACGCCTTCTCCGACAAGCTAGCTGTCATGACACTTTCCCTTCTTCTCCAGTCATCGATGCTTTCTCCGATGATCTCCCATAATAATTTGATTATTGGCTTGAGCTCCAAGATTGTTGTCAGCATTACGAGCTGAGCATGAGATCGAACTTGCATTTTGACAAACAAGTTGAGCTCGAGTTAGGCTTGAATTGAGTTAGCTTGACTCGTTTATACCTTTAATAACAACAAAAGTACAATAATTTATGGTCAAAGAGGTCCTCCTTGCAGCTAGTCAAATTGTGGACTAAAGAGGGTGTGCTAGAAGAGGCTACCATGACCCGATGTAAGTTATGCTAAATGATTGTATGACAATACAAATTAGAATGGGTAGATCAAGCCTAAAGAGGGAGACCAACTTGAGCAGATCCAACCTAACTGGATAAAGGTAGATCATTAAAAAAATAAAAAAATACATGCAAATTGCAAAGAAGCACAACAATTTACATAAAGAGCTACAAAGGAGATGTCATGTTTCACTCTACTCTTTTTGTGTGGCCAACCTTGTCATCAAAATAGTAAGTTTTATTTAATTTTAATAGATGGTTGGCCAACCCTCCTTAAATCAATTTTTGATTAAGGTTATGAAAAAAAAATGGATATGTAGAGAAAAAGTAGAAAAATAAAGATCTCCAGTTAGATATTATCTTATTATCAAGCATGAAATGGTGGGAGGCTTGCAAATTATGCATAAATTAGTTGTAGGTTTAAATCTGAACTTTTAGCTTGTTTTTCTAAATCTAAAATAGATTTTTTTTGTGATTAATTTTTTTCACGACAATTGAATATAATTTCAATTAATCTTTCAATCATTTCTCTTCCCAGCTCTCTTGGTCAACCTCATCATATTCCATCACTAAATAGTGAGGTGGTTGGCTCCCTCTCCATCTCTATACCATAATTATCTCTTAATAAGATCTTTCTCGCTAATTTTTCCTTCAAACTAATAAGTTAAAGAGAATTCGAGTTTTGAGTAAGCTATGGAAAGAAGATAGAAATTTTTAAGAAGAATAAATAAGAAAGACGTTAAAAATAAGATGAAAGCAAGATGAGCAAACATTATCCAAACCCTAGCTTGGTTAAACTTTCGAGAATAACCCCAATATTGGTTGGGGCTTGAAAGGTTCATCGATCCAAGTAGAATGCCTGAAGGCCGCAAATATATATATTTTTACACACATTTATCACTAAAACTACCACTAAGCTATCCCCCATCACCATCTAGGATAGTGGGAAGGATTTCCAAAAACCCTAGCTTAATGCATTATGAAGTAATGTTGAATCAAGAGAAAAGATGAGCAATGGAAATGGAGAGAGCAAGGAATATGTGTGTGTGCGCTTGCGCGCCAATTGTAGGTCAATAAGTTCCATTATATACTGGAAAAGGCCAAACAAATTGGTTCATAATAAACATGTTTTTCCTTTTCTTAAAAAGCACATAAATGTTCAAGCTCGTTAAAAAAAAAACGGGTAACTAATTATATACAAACTTTTCAAATGAGCATATCTAAAGTCCAATTTCCCAAAGGAGAGATGCTGACATAAGGCATGTTAACTTAAACTCAATAATCTAAGTACCACATGAATCCTTCTATTTTTCAATATAGATGTAACATGCACAGCAAATGTTATATGGCAAAATGTCAAAAATGTAGTCTTGTTCCTCGGGCAATTTTATGTGATATTATTTGAAGTGATATTAACGTAACATGCACAGCAAATGTTATATGGCAAAAATGTCAAAAATGTAGTCTTGTTCCTCGGGCAATTTTATGTGATATTATTTGAAGTGATACATTAATATCACTAGTAATTTGTTGCTTAAGAAAAAAATAAATCCATCAACATAATTCATTTTATCGTGCTTTACATTTTCAGAAGTCATAAGAAGAGCAAGACTGAACCCAATGACCATCACTTTATTATTGACAATTGATACAAGAATTATAGTTTCCATGGGACTAGTTTATATAATTATGTAAAGAGAGGATACCCATTTTATCAGGAAAAAAAAATGCTGAGTATATGAGGCAATGAATATTTAATCGTAAGTATCTTCTAATAACGTCATTTAAACATGACATAAAACATTTGCACGCAAGTAACTCTTTGCAGGTTAACTTGAACAATAAAAAAATAATCAAAGCAAAATAGCATATTCTATTCATCTTTTTTTTTTATACAAAGAGAAAAACTGAGAAGTTATTAAAAGAGCCATGATTACTTGCAAAATAAGTAAATTAATGATAAAATTTATTACTTACAATGAAATTATAGAAAATAACAGGATATAACATTTAAAACAGTAAACAGACATCAAATACAAATAACTTACTAGAAAGAGAAGAAAGAACTTATAATTTAATGCTCCAACACAGTTGACAACCCACACACAGTGGTGATCCATCTTCAAAACACATCTTCCACCTGATACCACGAATAAAGTATCAACTCAGAGAAACAAAGACATAGCAAGAGAGTGAGCACGATGAGAAACAATGAATGGATGATTTTGTGTTATTAAAGTTGGAGATCTCACAAACAGAACAGTGATGGCAACGAGGAGGCTTAAATTGGTTACATTTCCGACAAAATCTAATCCTTGGATCTCCAGGGTCCGAAATTATTGCAGATTGGTGCAAAGTCAAAATCGAATTGTTGAAGTCCGTGGCAGCCAATGGGGCACTTTCTCCCACCTCCTCGTCCACAGCAGGTCTCCAATTAGGTGGAACACTACCAGGATCCGTAAGGACAACAGAAAAGTAACTCCATAATAACATTGCCATCTGCAAAGTCAACAGCAACACTCCATTAAAGCAAAAGCAAATGAATTACAATCTGCCCTGAATTTTCATCATAAATTCAGAATCACCAGCTATTCTAAATTGATTTTTAAAAAAAAAAAAAAAGATGTTTATTATACCACCTTAAATTCAGACAATGTCGAAAGTAAAGAATATTAATCGATACTGTTGCAACGAATGCATTGGAAATGCCGTATAGATGAACTTGAAAACCAGAAGTATCGGTCCAGATGAAAAATCGAATAAACGACGGCCACTCCTAAATTAGAATACACTCCCAACATCTAAGGCCCAAATTTTAGCTCGGAAAATGAAATTTATGTCAAAATAAACGGCAATCGGAGAACCCTTTGATTAAACAAGAAACAAGAAACAAGAAACAAGTTAAGGATTCAGGAAACAAATCAGACCAGGCCATGGAAGAGCACAAGAACGACGAAGGCAGTGAGGAAACCGAAGCCTCCCGTTGAAAACAGAGCTGGACCGTAGTTGTTGACCACGACGGCGTAGTAAGTAACACCAACGATGCCAAGAACCATCAGGATCATCACTGAACCAAGACCACGAAGCGCCGTGCAGAACCTAAAAACGTTCCACGCCATCACCGCACCGGATCTATGCATCACGACAGTGCCTGGGAGGAAGATGAACCCTAGTCCAAAGAGGGGAAAGAGGAAGACACCCTCCCTTCCTCCAAAGAGGTGTGGAGGAGGTGGAAGTAGTCCTCTTCTTTGTTTCTTTTTTGAGATTTGGTTTTTGGGAAGAGATGGCTCGGGTTCATTTAGAATTTATATGTACGAGTATATATCCTCAAATAGTTGATTTTTAAAAAATTTAATTTTTATATTTTTATAAAAAATTAAAATAGAAAAAATGTTTTTTGCAAATTAATTATGATGAAAGAAATCTTATGATTATGTTATGAGAGGGAGCTCAAACTTTCTTGTAGCACAAAATCAACCTAAAATTTACATGATTTTTATTCGGATTTGTAGATTTAATTGAGTAAAATGGGATATATTAGGGTTAAATAGATTTGGATCTTATTATACTGAAAAAAAAATGCATAATTCATATAAGAGACGGGTAATAATGGTCTGGTGCAATTTTGATAGTTTTGGACGAGTTAGAATAATGTCGTGTGTTTTAACTCATGTAAATGAGTCGTTTTTGAGAAAAATATACTTCAAATAACACTCAAACTTGACCCATCAACCTGAATTCATAACATTAATCTTTTAATTGCTCTTGGCTGTCATTTGATATCTCTTACTACACTTCTCATTGTAGTAATATTCTTTTGAGGCCTTCAAGAGATTTATCATGTTTTAAGCTGGTTTTTAATGTTTCTTTTTATCGGGATTAAAATCAATTCACCAAATCTTTCAATGTAGGTTGTCCTCCAAATTTATAATAGATGAGGAAAAATAAGAGACGGGATTGTCAACTGTGTTGAATCAAAATATTCAAACAATAGGTTAGAGCCTATTTTTAGAAAATGGAGTTCAAATGACAGTATGAAATTTAAACTAAAGTTTTAATTGTGCTGAAAAAAATGCAAAAATTATATTATGTGTTTGAGCTTTATTGGAGCATCATTTGTATCCCATATATTTGTGGTCCTAATCTTGTTTAAACTATTTTTTAACTAGGATTTCAATTTGTATGTGAAACTAGTTTTGAATCTATGTTTGGATAAGGTTTAAATCAATGTAAATCTCTTTGGATGTAATGTCAAACATTATTAGAATATTTCGGTTGTGATTCTAATATAATGTTGAAATTTTTTTATGTGGAGTAGGCCATAATTTGAGAAATAGTTTTAAATCAGTAAAGAAATCTGATTTAATAATAATTTGATGTCATATTGTATTATTATTTCCATTAGAGGAATTAATATGGTGGACTATGCTAAAAAAATTAATACATTGCAATAACTTCAAACTAAATTATTTTTTTTCTCTCTTTGTGGATTATTAATGCCAAGTTAATTTAGTTATTTCTCATCTATGAACTTGCAAAAAACCTTTGGCATATTTAAGGGTTATTAATGTAGAACGCCAAACATAAAATTATTATGTTTCCATTGCATGAGTATGGTCAAAGGTTAAGATGAAATAAAAGGTCGTAATAGCCCCCTTCAAAAAATAAAAATTAAGTTCCAAGAGAGATTTATCCAATATAAAAAATTAAATTTCATATTTAAAAAAACAAAATTTTAGTTTGAATATTTTTAATTGTTTAAATTGTAGTTTCAATTTTATTTTAATATTAAATTTATCTTTCATTCTGTTTATTTTTATTTATTTATCCTTGTTTAGTAAGGAGTGTCAACCTGTAGTTTGAATCCAAATTAAATAGGCCTCATTTCCCATCCTCTTTGCTTAAAAATTGAACTCATTTATATAATTATCTTTTCATTAAAAAATATTTTGCATTTGATTATTAAAATTTTCTTAGTAAGATCCTTATGATCGTGTATATAGTGATTGGCCCCATTTAATTGTGTGTCGTGTTTGGCCTCTTTAGAATACCATTTTCAATATCTGCAGTCATTTTAGAAATGTTTTTCCCATCTTTTGCAATATGAAAAAAAAAACTCTAAGCCATTTTGTAAGTGCTCAAATAAATAGGACTTTCTTAACCTAATAAGATTGTCCACCTCTTACTATAATTCAAACTCAATGGATTCCAACCAAAAACTTTAGATTTGACCTTTACACATTCTCCCAACCCTTCTAAACCTCTCCACCCCACAAAAACATTGTTGAACATGTTTTCTAACTATATAGTTCAATATTAGTTAAAACAACAATAGGTATATTTCCAGTATTAGTGTTATCTTTACCAAACTTTCTTGAATTTTTTAAATCCTCTTTAGAAATTCAATGTCACCCCTCCTAACTAACCCCTATAACTTCTAAGAGTTTTCATATACTAAAACCCTCTTCATGCTATATTTATAAAGATAAAATCACGTGTGATAGTTATAAAGATTAATTGATATGTGATATGAACTGATCACACTCTCCTTAAGTACACCTCAAATAAAGTTGTTCTAACTATCCAATGGTATACCACACATCCATATACTCCCTCCATAATAATTAGAAGCTTTATGTCCACACCCGAAAGGTTAAGTTAATAATAATAAATGAAACCATTAACCTCTTACCCTATTTCCTACTAAGGGTACAACCAACTTTATTATTTTCCTTTTCATTTTATGTCATACAAACGAGAATATTGATGCTTAATTCACCTAAAAGGTAAACATCATAAAAATAAAAATAGTAAGTTAACTATCCAAAATATTTTTAAGTAAATTATAGGAAAAATTTTGAGAGCGACTATACAATCAATGACCCATCATTATCTTGATGGCTCTCATCCTCTCCTTCCTCCTAGTCGAACAACAACGTGAAAAACTTCTTTATGTTCGTCCATTCAGGTGAAAACTAATTGAATCTCTGCCTGACAACTGATGCCTAAGGAGACCCCATCTTTGAATTTCACCGCAAGAAGAGCCACCTAAGTCAAATGGGAGGATAACTAGGCAAAAAATTTGTAAGGAGTCTTCATCACTGTCATTCTACCGTTCATGATTAAGTTGTGGTTGAAAACAACTTTGATTATCCGAGCACCTTTTCCATAGCTCTCGTCACCCTCTCCTCAACCTAAACCAATTTATGCTTATTCTTCAGCTGTTCCTGCGCTCTTGATGAAAGATAGTCAACTAGAGATGCTAAGCTTCCCAGACTATTAAATGGTATCTATCAGTCATTCGACAAAGGGTTGGCAAGCTTTGTTCTTGAAGGGCCTCTTAAGAAAAAGGAGACCATGCCATATAAGCTATCATGGAGGGTAGGGAGGCCTCGCAAGGGAGTCAAAAATCAGTTTATTTAGAGGTTTATCAACGCAAACTTACTATATAAGTTCATGCTCACCTTTGCCTTCTCATGTTGTATCAGGATACACTTGAACGGATGTCGCTTATGCTCTTTATGGGACAACACATGATGCAATTCACTCAAATCAAACTTCAGGGCATTCCTCTCTCTGTGATGCTCCTCAACGGGGCTGATCGGCCTGCAGTGTGCTCCAATGATGGCCCTGTCGAGCAGTCCCCTTGAAAAGATCTACTCGAGTCAGTAGAAGCAAGGTGGTTGGCCTCGTCTCTCACAGATAACTTGATGAGCGACATAGTTGTTGACCAAGGGGCGGTTGACACTACTTCTTGCCTCTCTACTGAAGTCGCCTCCCCTTGTTACGGTTGTACTTTGTGCGACTCGCCGTTCTCTCGACATCCTGCTATTGCACACTCAAAGAACAGAAAACTTTAAGATGACACTTAAGTCGTTGACCATACAATGAGGAATAGCTCAATTGTCACAATTCTTTGAAAAGTATCATTTAAATAAAAAATATAATAAATGAGATTCGCACCTCCCAAGCTTTTCTTAGCCAGAACCACCTTTGACACAAGTTGACTTTCTGCTTCGGTAGTTTCAAAACGAACAACCGAGCGGGCCCTCTCTTTATATGTCAGGCAACCCCCACTGGCTCCTTCTCAGCTCAAAGGCATAGCAGGCCTCCCAATATTCATTACTAATCACACAAATAACATCAAGCCGCAACACCTTATTGAGGAGCGTCAAGTGAAGGTACTGTTGGATTGATAACTTCTGCCCCTCAACTTTGTTGACCTCAAAAAATACCCTAGTTGATGCCTTCCTCTTTAATATTGATGGGGATTCCCCATACGAGACCGTTCAAAGTATTACCCATGCACAGAGGAACCCAAATATAAGAGAGATTTTCAGCCATTCACAATATTATCCAGCCCCAATAACTGAAACTTTCAGACGGAAGAAAACTGAACAAGCCTATCTTGATTAACCCAGAACGAAAACAAATGTTTGAAGTTGTTAATGGTCCACAAGATTCCCAATGGATGACAGAAAATGATGAGGTTCATGGTGGTTGCGATTGAGTTAGGTTTGATCTAAGTGGGGTTGACATCATTATTGACAAAGATGAAACATAGATCGGAACAGAGGGAAAGTCGAAGACCAAACCAAATTTGATCTTTGTGGAATAGGAGACCAGCACCATACAAAAAAGTATCGGCCTCACCAGCCACCTAAAGCTTGATGGTTAGATCAAAGATGTTAGACTTGGGTCATCCAATGTTGGTTATTCAGGGAGACTCACCCAAAATCTTGCGAAGAGTATCAATGAGCTATTGAGTAGAGAATAAGAAAGGAGAATGAGAAGACTGAAAGGAAGTAGAAAAAATAGAGGAAGCATGATCTTACAAATCATTCACCTTATATATATATATATATATATATATATATATGAAACAAAGAAAGTATGGTCGTTGCATAAGGATAAAAATGGAATTCAATTGCCATTTCTACAGTGAGCCGACAAGAGGATCACCTCAACACAAAAAAATGTGACAAGAAAATAATTTTATTTTGAAAAAAGAGACTTAAAATTATAATACAAGCACCTAAAATTTAATCCAAGATAAAATATTTTATAAGAGGATTAGTTGCCCATTCGACCGAGAAATACCCTAGCCGAAGCAGCTTTATAAACAAGAATTTCCCTCCAAATCTAAACTGACTTAGCCTATCTGACTTGTCTTGAGCCTAAAATATCAAGGAACTCCCCTTTCCGCCTTCTCCACACAAGATGACAACTAACACAATTCTTAGCCTCATCGGATCCTAGCCGACTGAACAAAGGAACTTTCAATCTCATCCAGATGATGGCACACAACCCAAGGGATATCCTAAGTCGGTCATACGCTATCCAACGTCCTTTAGAAGGGACGATAAGGCATCAACTCCGTCATCCTAACTCGAGAGTACAACAGCTCCATATGGAGCCTAGTCTACTCACACTGGTGCTCCCGTCAATTTCTCACATACGCAAATAAGAGTCGAATTGTCATCTAGAATTGCCAAAGCCAGGTCATCTACACCAAGAAACATCATAAAACAAAAAGAAAACTTAACGAAGATCAAAATCCAAATACAAGGTCGAAACGCATCTTACTCAGGAGCCGACTCCACTTCAATATCGTAGCCGATGTAGCCTCCTAACCATCAAGCAATGAGTCCCTATAAGGCATTTAAGTGATCAAGCCAACCAAAGGGTCTTGTGCCATCGTAGAAGCTTGGTTGATAGGATTGATGTTCGGGGCAGTCGACTGAACGCCTTTATGCTTAGTGCAGAGGATCCAATTAAACGAATCCCCTCTAAACCAACATTGAGTTTAGGTTTCCTTTTCTTTACAACGACTTTCTTTTTTCCTCGTATCTTATAGGCAGTCAAGTCCTTTTAGCTTCCTAAAGGTAAAGCAAATCAAATATTTGTTTGGAATGTCATCGAAATGTTTCAACAATTTCTCCATCACAATACTCAAATCGATTCAAACGAGAAAAGATGCAGAAGCAAAATAGGAATAAAATTGGTCCCATCACACCCTACTTATAAGAATCAAATTTATCAATACCAAGTGACTTTAATCATTGAATCACTAATTAAAATTTGAAAGTGATATATTTTTGCATTAAATTTTTTTATTTTCATCGCAGCGCCACTTTCAAAAGGTTAGAGAATTAGATAACTAAATATGTATATATAAATGTGTCAGCACCAATCTTAAAATGATCCAACGGTCCATAAAGGGTGGAGTAGATTGATTGCTAACCCACTGACAGAAGACCATTAAACCTATCAAAGTGACCAAGCAAAGCCATACAAACTAAACCGACAAGTTTAAAATCATCTAAACCTCAAGCAAGACACAAAGACCACTGGATGATCCAAACACAAACCATTCAACCATAAATGAGATGAATCATGATTTAGTGTGTGTGTAAATTTTATAAAATAATATGACCCATAATACATGTCCCTATGTGATCTGCATTTAAACCCCCAAGAACTTTATAATACGTGCTTTACCTATTCGACCGCAGCCTCAAACTACCTTGCATTTGAGCTGCACCACAAGTTCTCAATCTCACCGAAATGGCGAGCATACGCAGCAGCCTGCAATTACGAGGTTTCTTCCACGCCTACCCGCTGCCGGTGATCGGCCCAAGAGTCCTCAGTTTGCGGCAGTCGCGCGCCGAAATTTTGTATGGCCGAATTCGCTGCGCCGCTTCGGAATCAAGCGATGGAGGTCAAAAGGTGTCTGCTCGCCTCTCCATGATGCAGCAGGTTTTGCAGGAAGCCGAGGAGCGAGCTCGCTACGCCGGCTCCGAGAAGACACCGAAGGTAACCCTAGGTCAGTTGAACTTTTTTTTTCGCCTTTTAAGTTTTTTCTGATTCCAATATAAACTTGTAATCGGATTAATAGATGCAATGTTTTTGCCTCTTTAATGATTAGGATGTCTTTGATTCAGTAACTTCATCTGTCTAAATTATAAGAGAGGGTTTCAGAAATATTGGCTGATAAATGGTGATAAGTAGTCCTTTATGGAAGGCATTGATGTGGAAGAAGTCTAATAGATTGTAAGTGGTTTGTGTCACAGGTGTAAATAACGTCATGCAGACGATTTTAAACTGTCAAGGAGCTAGTAGAACATTTTATGATGACTGGTACATTTTAGTTATTGGTGAAGATATCCGGGTTTTGAATATACCATTTAAGCATAAGGTATACCCGATTAACCAACATTTTAAGTGCGCCTTTTACATAATCACTTAAGAATGCTTAGCAATATGCTCAGGGCAGAAGTCGAGCTTTTTTGTCTGTCAATGGCGTGTTGATTGTGTAAAGTACTTCCACTCACTTTCAAAGTTCCGAAATCAAACAGGAATAACATTTTAGATGCACATGAATCTTAGTTTCCTTGTTTATGTCCGCATCAGATGATTTGCTGCAGATTTTACGAGGATTATGTTTGGGACTTTGAACTAAAGAAGAACCACAGTTGGATTTCATACACTAGCGGTCAAACAATTTTTAAATAAAAAAGCTTAAGCCAATGTTAGAGGATCAACCATTTGGTTTTTCTACATCAATCCATTTTTAACTATTTGATGTAGGACTACACCAATTACTCTTACGCATCTTAACAATCTTTTCGTTATGTGAGAGTTTTGCGTATCGATCATCACTCCACCATTGAAAACTTCTTAACATAATCGAGAATCACACACTTAGAGCAGTTAATCATGGGTGCTTGCATGGGAGTTATATTATATGCTATTGAATTTGACCTTGATAGAAGTTCAATACCTATGAGAGTCTCAAATTGTATGAATCACTTGATCCCAGTGTTAATGGCTTTTTTATTTTTATTTTTTATTTTTAAGTTGGGCTTTATAAATAAGTGGTCAAGAAATTTTTAAACTGAAAACTTTAAGCCTACATACGAGAATCAACCCATTTATTATTTTCAACTTTTCCATGCAGGGCTAAACCCATTACTCTCGCATTTACAATTGCTTTCATGTTCTTGCTCATAAACAAAAGCTTTTCTTGAATGTAATTGAGAACATGCATCAAGAGTCTATTCAACCACGCGGTGCTGTTGTTAAGACACATCAAAGTTTTAAGTTCAGTTTCACATTCTCCAAGATAAAAATACGTTTGTATAAAAATACCGATGATTTGCCCTCACCCATATTATTAACCCTTTGGTTGAAATGATTTGAATATCGGTATATATGCCCATATTTTTCTCTTCCGCTGATTCACATGCCGTCACACCCTATCACGATTATGTTTGGTTGGGATTGAGTGATTCCTGTTGTTTGTATCTTTAGTGAGTTAGGGTGGGCCGATTTTGATTAGTTTTTATTAACTTGAGCCATAATTTGTAGCAAATTCATATCTTATAAATCAATTTCTCCTTTAAGTAAAATTAAATCAAACTAAACTAAACTAAACATATTAACTATTTAAATCTTCCCAAACATGTTCAAATTGTAACCTTTATAGTTTCATATCATAAATCCAAAATTGAATTGAACCGAAACCCAAACAACTGCTTCATTCATTCATTCTAGTTCATTTCATTTTCCATCATTTTTGTTCTATTGTTATTTTTTTGTGTTTGGTTCAGTTTGAAATCATGATTGAGTTGGAACTAAATCGAACCATGTCCACCACTACCATGGGTATGTAAGGTCCCGTAACGTATGACAACCTTGCTGGCTTTATGTGGTTGAATGATCTCTTGGTCATATTTTTTTATATTAAAAAATTTTCCTTCCACTACCATGGGCATGTAAGATCCAATAACACACGACTCCCTGGTGGCTTTATGTGATTGAGTGGGCTCTTGGCCATATTTTTAATATTAAAAAACTTTTTATTAAGATGGAGTGATTGTGAATTTGGAGAGCTCTTAAATGAAGGAGAGATTATTTGGATAGATTGGAGTATTGTGTTTAGTCGTGTTAGATACCCGAAAAATATTTTGGAGTAGAAAAACCATGTAGCGGGAATTCACTAATATGATTAGTTTTTGGTTAAATTTTAGTTTGAGCTTTGATATATTTAATCCAATTTTATTCTTCATTCGATAAAAAGCTTCTAACAAATATCTCTTTCATGTAGTCACCTTTCAAACAATTTCTTCGTTATAAAAAAATCTAAAATTAACTGAGAAGGCAAGAAAATGTTAAGATTTAATACTATAAATAATGAATAAAAAATATATATTTATATAGTGTGTTGTTAGACTTCCTTATTACATGTTGACTTTCTCAATTATTTGCTAGCTTCAAGCACATTTGCCATTGCAAATTCCCTGTGAGACTTGTTATAGCAACCTAGTTGACTGCCTTAGTAGGACACCATCAACCAACTCCCTTTACTTAGCCCTATTACTAACCATTGTTTGGTTTCCATCGAGATACCATTCTTTTTCGTCAGCTAAGCTCGCACCTTTGCCATCGCTGATTCTCTCCAAGTCTTCTCGTTTGTTTGTGGCAACTGCAGCTGGTTGAAATAGTTGATGCGCAATAGATGTTGAATAAGCTGCTATGGGGAAGAAGTTGTCGGTGAAGCTTTGTGTCATTTGGTTAGTTCAATTATGAATTAGCTGTTTCGTAGCAGTTTATGAAAACAAATCAGTGTTGCCTTTTTATACATGTGTTATTTGTAAGATAATTATTTCAAAATTAATAACTCATGCATAAAAGCAGAAAATAATTTTAGAAAAAAAATTATTAGTCTATATATTAGATCAAAATGTTTTATCATTTAATAACCAGTAACACAATAATTAACCAAAAAAAATAACAAGTAGTATTATCGTAAGATTACTTTTTAAAATACAAATGATTAAACATATGAGAAAATTTTTTCTCCAAAGATACTCACCACACATGATCACTCTCTGAAGTGGACTAATTGAACTGATCTGCTCACCTAAGAAGTTGCAACCCTCTCTTAATCTATTTATTGGACAACTATAAAGTTATGTGCTCGGTTTTTATATAAATCTCTATATACTACTGAAAATACACATATAAGAATTGTGCTTTTGAATGCAAACACGTAAGAATTGTGCTTTTGATTGTAAATCATGTCTCAACATAAATTTTCATAAACATTCAATCGAAAGACAAAGATATCAAAATACACACAAACGGAAACACCATGAAAATATCAAAATACACTCATAAGAATTGTGCTTTTGAATGTAAACACATATGAATTGTGCCTTTGAATTAAACACATAAGAATTGTTCCCTTGAATGAAAATCATGCCTCAACATAAATTTTCATAAACATCAAAATCAAAAGACAGAGATATCAAAATGCACACGAACACAAACACCATGAAATTTATCCCATAAAACGAGCAAATAAAGATCCAACCCCCACAAAGAATAACAACATAAATTTCCGTAAACATCTGATCAAAGATGGAAGATAATAAGAATGAAGATCATAGGTACCTTTTTCTGGATCCCTCGCCTTTGTGCATAGAGCGGCATGACAGGTTAGGGTAGAGCAAATTTAGGGGGATGAAAGCGGGGGAGAGGGTTTCGAGCGAGAGCTGAGGAGTAATAACATAAATAAAAAATGTGGAACACAAGTAAGGGATTGCAATGTTAAAACATTCCTACGATGCGTCGATTCTAAAACGTGGGAGGAACTTGTTAAACAAACACTGTAAAATGGCGGCGACAGACCTCACCACTCTTTCGCAGCCGCGCCAAACACATAGTTAATGTCTTTAAGGCAACCTAGTTTAGTACCTCAAATAGTAGGCTACCTTCAACCAACTCCTTTACTCAATCTTATTGCTAAGTATCGTTGGGCGTTCGTCGAGCTACCGTAAACTACTTTTTCATCAGCCAAACCTCAAGGAAGAAAATCTCCGGTGTAAGTTTCCTATGTCATCACTTCATTGTTGTTGAGAATAATTGAGAACATCAAACACTGCTATTGGTCACGTTATGTAATCATCATACCACCCAATTCTTATCTTACATATCGAACATCTAAATTTATTTTTTATATTTATATAAATCAAAATTTTGATATAATATCAAAGATATCATTAATTTAACTTCATATAATGTAAAGTTTGTTCATGTTCGGCTAATTTATAAATCGAGCTAAGAAAATTTGGTTGTGTTCGGCTCGTTTGTTTACCCAACGAATCGAACACGTGCTATCTCACAAGCTCGAACACGAGCTGTTCGTGAACGACAAGTTTTGTTGACAGCCCTAGCCACCGATGTTGGGATGCACCTTTTTTTGTTCGTTGCAAGAGAAACTTTTCTTTTCTATAGTTCGACGCATGTATGATATATATAAATTATTTATCAAACATTGTTTTCTAATTTTTTTTAGTTCATTGCAGATTAGAAAGGTTTTATAATAAGCGAGATAAGGTAAAATCGTAATAATAAGAGTAAGTTTTTATTTATTTTAATTCAAGAGGACTCTTTAGAGCAATTACAGAGCAGTTTGTCTTGGAGGTTCCAAGTTTGAATCACGAGAAGTACCTCTATGCAATGTTATGTAGATCTTATGTACAGCAACCCCTGCTCAAACTCAAATAATGCCTCATGCTTTAGGTATGCTTGTTAGCTACAGATAGGAATCCTGAGAAGGAATAGAACTCAACAGCACTTGTCCTCCTTATCAACCTTTCATTTTACCTTTTAAGATCATTGAACCTGCTCTCTTTCTCTCTCATGGATTTTCTACCCTCTTTCTCCTCTCTTTGGAAGCCCTAGGTATTGACCCCTAGGACAAATATCACAACACCACTGCTATGATGCCATCAATTTGTCTTCAACATTTAATCCCAATTTATCAACTCTCTGTCTCACTCTGTCTCTCTTTCTCTCCCATATATTTCAAGAGGGAGGAAGATTTCTTGAAAGAAAGATGAATAAACTTTGATTTCCTTAACTATATTTTACATTTTGTTTACTATTTATTTTCATTGTAACTTTCATTAATCAATTCTAAATGAACGCAATAAGTTGCAACACAAGTTGCATTACACGTGATGCAATTCTCAAAGTTTATAATCATCAATGCACAAAACATATGCATTGAGATGAGCATGTATATTTTATGAGTTTTGGTGTTAAATTAGTTATATTTTTTTCTTCGCTTTTAATTTTTGTTTATTTAATTGTAAAACATTCCTATTGTGTCAGCCCCTATTGAGTCCGGATTGTATTCTCTAAGGTCCATTAGCTTGTATCAGGTCAATCACTGGTTCTTTGATTCACCAATAGTCACTGTTGTTAGCTTATTCGTTGGTTGTTCTGGCTTCCCTTTACCTTGTGAATATACTGTTTCTTCTGGACTCTTCGCAGCCTGTGATGCCTGCTATGGAGGTTCATCTCTCTTCAGGTTTTTTATTTGGAGGCTAATTGCTTTCTGCATTGTTTTGTTTCTCTATCTTCTACCTGTGGTTCCTGCTACTGCTATTAAATTGGAAGGTCTGTTTTTATATTACTGTGCATATGGTGTGGCATTGTAGTTGAAATCTGAAGTTGTTTGGTACATTTTAGCTTAGTAGAAATGCCTATTTTTACAATATATCTCAATTGAAACTTTCAAAATTAGCCCTTTTTATCATGAATAGGAGATCTAAGTCCTATAGATTTCAGTTTTTGGCTTCATGAAATTTTAGATATTAAGCTAATTCTTTCAGTGCGGTGTTAATGTTGACAACAATAGTGTTAGGGTCTGGTCTTCCTTGGTGAGTGTTTATTCTTTTTGCATCTATATCACATTGTGATTGGGATTTGTTCAAATCTGCTAGAAATGATTTTCTTCTTCCAATGTGAATCCTTAGCATTAAGGTTTTGAAAACTTAATCGGACGTTGAACTGAAAGGAGTGGTTCAAAGTTTAACCGAGGTTGAATCAAAGGATGCAATAAATATTAAAATCATTTTATATGTTTTAAATGATGTAATAATGATACAATAATGATATTTTTACCAATTCCACTTATATATTTTATTTCAAGGTACTTTATTGTTGAAGATTTTAAATATGATTCTAAGTTAGAATTTTGGAATAAGGTATTTTAATTATTTTCACCAGTTTTGTGTAATTATTTTATTTCTAGTCATTTTAACAAAATTAAGAAGCCAAATGTTGATAAATATTTGAACAGGGCTGTTCTTTAAAAATTGGATCGGTTTACTGGTTCAATTGTTGGTTTTGTTCGAACTGGGCCAAGGACTGATCGGACTGGCCGGTTTGATTCGATTTTTAAAACCATACTTGATATTGGGTGTTTCCTTATTTTGTTCTTAGATTTCTGTGCATAATCTCAGTTTTAGATGAACTTTGAGTTACAATTAGAAGTGAGTTATACCTTTTTTTTAAAATTACACCAAAATAGGCAGCATTTACTGAATTAAGAGTCGGAGCAATGCATATTTCGTATTGTTTTTTGTATTTTTTAATTTCTTGCATTATTCATTGGATCTTATTCAGGGAAAATGCTAGAACATAGGCCTGCTTTTATCCACTTGATTGTGTTAAAATATGGAATTGAGGAGTGCACGCAGACATATGCCTGCGTTGAAGAAATTTTAGAATAAGTTCATTGCTCTTTTAAGCCCAAAATTATATGTTTAATAACAGTGGGCTAACTTTGTTTAAGCATTTGCCCACCTTTCCCATAGTTTTCCGTAATTTATCTTTTCGTTACTTTTTTTGATCTAATGTTTTTTGTTTTTCCTCTTTGAGAGCTGTTTTTACCATGCAATTCTTTATCGTTTGCATATTTAACATCTAAACTTACAGCTTTATGTGCCTACCTCCCAATTCTTTCTAATACATCAAACATACCACACAAACTGTCGCCGTAACCCTCATCCGTGGCTCCGCCTTTACCACCGATGCCCTAGTCCGTGACTTCGTCATGCCACCCTTGACCATGATGAAATCAGTGATAATGTAAAGTACAACAAGAACAACAATTGTTATGCAGATTACAAGTTGCAGAGTGCTGGGAAGCCATAATGGATGAAGTCCGAGTTGAGAGAAGTTAGGTGGAGCAGCAACGGGAGGGAGTTTAGGACCGACTTTATCAATGATCTATAAGGGAAATGGTCAAGAAGATGATAAGTGGAGTCTCCCTTAGTTGATATGACGAGGGCAGCGATGGTTAGATGGAGTTACAACTGGGGGTTACCTTATGGCGATAGTGTGTGCGGTATTTTTGATGAACTGGAAAGAATTGGAAGTTAGGCACGTAAAATTGTAAGTTTAAGTGTTAGATATGTAAATGATAAAGATTTGCATTATATACTTGTAAATACACCTTTTAAATTTTGAATGCTACCAATGAGTTTCACCAACTTCGAATGACTTTTTAGCCTGGTTGCTTCGAGAGCAAAGCCAAATAAGCTTAGCCGCATCAAGTTATTGTTATTAAATTTTCAGGATCAGGAAGTTTCGTCTGGAAATTTGGCTTGAAAATGAGAGTTCATATACAATTTTTTATTTGCATATTTTTTTAGTTTTAAATATTGTCGAAATTGAAACCAGAACTAAGGAACTATATTACCTAAACTGAAAATCATCCAAAATACCGAAAATCAAATCTAAACCAGTTTCTAATCATATTCCATTTAAAATTATGGAGTTTAAAGGATAAAATATAATCAATTTGGTCACGAGGCCACACGTTCAAGTGTTTCTTGGTTTAATTCAAACATTTATCTGTAGATCAACTTTGATTACTTTAGTCCTGTTGCGGGCTTAAAGATTCACGGTTGTAGAGTGATAATTTAACGTCTCAGATTATACGAAAATTTAACACACACAAATAATATAGAAATAATAAGAGAATACACCAAAAATTTTATGCGGGAAAACCTAGAAAGGAAAAAAAAATTGTCCTAGCCCAGTCAAAATTATTTAATATTAAGTGCATAATTTCAAAGATATACCCTGGTTCACCATTGGAAAAGAAGGATTACAACGCTACATGAACTACAACACTTGTTCTTGCACTATGTACAAGTCAAAGCAATTCACTATAAGTGCTTAATTACAAAGATACACAATTGTCCCACAATCGAGGAAGAAGGATAACAACGCTTCACGAAGTAATACACTTGTTCGTGTACAATGTACAAAAAAATTCAACAGTCTGAGAAAATTCGTCGTATTCTAGATATAATGGTTGTAAGTAGTCGCCGAAAATTATTGTGGGATCCGTATTGCGGTATTATACGTTACACCGTATCTGAGATACTTCATTACACCATATTTAGGATTCTTTGTAATCCAACAAAGTTTGTTAACGACGACAAGTGATGGTCAACGTTGGTCGATGGCAGCCGACGGGCAGTGTTTGACAACTATAGAGGCCGAAAGTTATCGTCGAGTCTTTAGTCTATAATAACATTGGAATTTGACTCCTCCCCCTCTAAGTGAAGGGGTATATTTTACTATTTATAGTCTTCTAGGGAGGAACATCCGGTCATTCAACGAATAACTTCCATCACTATTCGATCGAATGACCCACATTGATTCTTCTTGATAATGAGGTTTTTTTTTATGATTTGAGGGACTTAATGACCTCAGAATTGAGTTATATTGGGCTTGTTGAATTTCTCTTGTCGAGATGTTTGATTGGACGATACGTACGTCAAATTTGGATTTCATTTAACCTTTTAGAGCTCTAAATGATTTTTAATTTAAATCAAAACATTTTTCGGTCCATAAAATGTCTTGAGATTCGTGCCAAATTATGAAATTTCGTGATGACATATCAAGTCCAAATATAAAAAAACTCGGTGCACAAAGTGTAAATGAAGTGCCAAAAATGCTAACATTGCCATTTCGCTCAAAAAAAAAAATGGTGTGTGGCTAGGGGAAAACAAAATTCATTACTACTGGATTTGTACATTTCAAATCAGTTTTGATTATTCTGTTGCTCCAGGACTCTTAAAGATCTAATTTTGGGGCATTTACATGCATAACACACAATTCTTATGTATTTACGTATCACCTACCTAAACCCTAAACCCTAAACATACCACTCAAATCTGTAACATCACATAAAAAATACCACTATCAATATCTTTTTTGAAGTGAAAGATAACTTATCATGCATAGGCTTATGACACCAAGATGTTATGAGTGTAAATGCCAAACTTTGGGTGTTAGATATGTAATTACATAAGAATTTAGTGGCATCTATGTAAATTTCCCTTTATTTTTTCTTGATTCAGAATAACTTCTATTTTGTTTTTAGAGTGCTTTTTCCATCTCCTAAGCATTAGGACATGGGAGACAAGGCATCCTGCTCTGAATGAACTCTTACACAACATGCTCTTAGGACCATGCTTTTAACTGCACTATGTAACATTAATGCTTTTTTAACATTTTCATTTCAATGATTCTGCAGATCATGTCACTGTTAATTTCGCGAGAAGTGGCGGGCCTGGTGGTCAGAATGTCAATAAAGGTTCTTCAATAATTTAATGTGAATAAAAGGAACTCACTCCTCTTCATTTTTCATATTATTTGCTCGCTAAAAAAGTTTCCTTTTCCTTTCTGCCAAGTGGTTTTTTTATTGGTTAGTTGAGGTACTTATAATGATACCATGATCGTGGTTGAATTATGGGGCATTTACATACATACAACGTAATTCTTATGTATTTACATATCTAACACCTAAAAATTCATATTTACATGTATAAATCTAAATCTTTGACATCACAAAAAATTCCACCTTCACTATCTTTTTAAAAGTTAAATTCACCTTTTCATGTATAGGTTTATGACACCAAGGTATTATAAGTTTAAATATCAAAATTTGGGTGTTTGATATGTAAATACATAAGAATTGTGTGGAATGTCTGTAAATTTCCCTAGAATTAAATTAAATCTTTTGCAACCTTTAGCGTTTCTTCCTACTTGAATGACCAGGAATGCTTTCAGTGGCAGCTCGTGCAGAAATGTTCTTAGTTTGTTATGTTGAACTTAATTTTGTTCCATTAGCTCTCGTTTTTTCTTATTTTTGTTTTTCTATGATACTTCTTTTTGGGTCTTCAAAGATGACCTTTCAAGGCCAGATTTGGATCAAAACTAAAATTGTTAGAAGTATTTTTATTGCCTACTGTTATTGATGAAAATTTATTATCTTTTACTCGACTGATTGAGCTTGCATAATTTTTGAGTTCATACCAGATCTCTATTTCATTTTTGCAGTGAACACTAAGGTCGACATGCGTTTCAATGTAAAGAACGCTCATTGGTTAGGTGAAAGAATCAGGGAGAAAATACTCCAAATGGTCAGTCCACACCAACGTTTCCTGTGGATTTGTTTTAATTTTTGGGTATTTACATGCATAGCACACAGTTCTTATGTATTTACATTTCTCACACCTAAACTCTCATATTTACACACGTAGCACTCAAATCTTTAATATCACATAAAAAATAGCACTATTATCACTTTTTAAAAGTAAAATACAACTTTTCATGCATAAGTTTAAACACCAAAGTGCTATATATATATATATATATATGTAAATATGACAGTTTAAGTGTGAGATATGTAAATGCATAAGAATTGTGTGCTCTATATGTAAATTTAATGCCTTCATCTCTACATTCTGAGTTAACACACGGACAGTTTCCTTAATAAATCAGGAAAAGAATCGTATTAATAAGGACGGGGATCTTGTTATTTCTTCAACCAAAACAAGAACACAGAAGTGAGCCTCAAAATACCGTTTTATTATTATTTTTTTTATTCATGATTTTAACTAGTTGTCAGTTTGATTTTGTTCCATTATTCTTCTTCCAGGGGTAATATTGAAGATGCTCTGGCGAAACTGCAGGTTGGACTGTGATTTTCTTCTTCATCCTCATCTTCTTTTTCCTAGTAGGGGTGAAAATGAGCCGAGCTTGAACGAGCTGAGTGTTTATTTGTGTTCGGCTCTCTTGAAATTTATGACTCAAGAATGACATGTTTGTGTTTGGCTCAATTCAGATCATTTGTTCGTTTTAACTCGTGTTTGACTCAAAATTAATTTGAATGATTTAAAAATTACCCGCATTTACACACCATATAATTCTTTTATATTTACATATCTAACACCTAAACTTCCATATTTACTTACATAACACTCAAAACGTTAGCATCTTATAAAAAATGCCACCATTATTAATTTTTAAAAAGTGGAATACTCCTTTTCATGCATAGGTTTATGACATCAAAGTGAAGTATAAGTGTAAATATCAAACTTTAGTCGTTAGATATGTAAATACATAAAAATTGTGTGACCTGTCATTAAATTTCACATGCAACATAAAAAATCAATATAAAAATATTCTAACAGGATTATTTATCTAGTTAATAAATTAATTCGAGTCAAAATGAGTCAATGATGGAACAAAAGTTAGTTTGTAATCAGCTCGTTTATTATTTGAGCTAAACAAAAACCGTTCACGTTCAGCCAGCTACCTGTTTGCGAATGACAAGCTTTTTCGATAGCCTATAGTTTTGCGTCGGTAACTATTACAAGTGGGTTTCATAGGATTGTTAGTTGTTGATCTTTGTCTTTTTGTTCAACAGGAAATTATTGATTCTGCATCTTATGTCCCACCGCCCCCATCAGAGGAGCAAAAGAAACGGATACAAAAACTGTATGTCACTGTATTGTTCTTCCCTAATTATCTGAAGAGGAACTTTTATTTTTATTTTTGTTTGGCCGCTGTTATTTTGCATACACTAGTGTAATGTCCAATCAGATGAAGCAAAAGCGGCATTCACATGCATACAGCCCACCCAATTCCTATGTATTTACATATCTAACACCTAAACTTTACTTTTTTAACAATGACTTATTTATCATTTATATAATCATAGTGCTGCCATAGAAGAGCAGAAGAGGATGCAAACCAAAAGGGCTCTTTCACAGAAGAAGGCAATTAGGAGGACCAAAGATAGCTGGGATTGACTGGAAGGTGATTTTCTCATCATATTTTATCAAATTATAGTTTAAAATCAATTATACCTTTCGATTGTGTTTGGATGCTGGAATTTTGTGTGAAAGGAAATAAAAATGGGTTTTTTATTTTCCCGGAACCCTCATGATGATTCTCGTGATGATCTTTTTATTGTACATGACCTGGGTTTCTTTTGTTTTATTTTAGGGGGGTTTACATCCATAGCACTCAAACATCATGTATTACATATTCCACCCTCAAACTTCATCATTATTTACATTTATAGCACTCAAAATATTATATTGATATTAAAAAAAACACCGTTATGTTAGAAATAATAGCTCCGTTACCGCCCCCAACTTATATCACATGATTTCAGCCTTTCAAGCTTGCGGCATCCCATCATCGCCCTCTCCCAATTCCGGATCGTTGCAGCTGGTTGTTTGCAAGAGAGCCAATAAGAGATACTTGGGTTTGCGATTGTGTGGAACAGTAAAGAGCGTAAGATCTGGATGGAGGGCGATGAAGGATATATAAATAACTAAGAATTGAGTGGTATAAATATATTTTTCATATCTAATTTCTAAAAGTATTTAATATATTTTTAATAAAAATTAATTTTTAGTATGATTTAGAGTTTTTTTAATTCAAGTTTAATTAACTCTAACAAAATACGAAAATAATAAATAGATATAGCATCATGTAACTGCTGCCATTAAACAATTAATTTTATTTAATTGTGTAAACAAAATGTGGAATGAATATATTCGTGATAGGGTTAGTGTAGCTCCTGTGACAGACAAAATTCTTAGATGGTTTGGTTATATTAAATGTCGACCATTAGATGATCCAATTAGGAGAGTAGATGTTTTAGATTCGACTTGTGTTAAGAAGGGCAGAGGTAGACCTAGGAAGACTTGGGCTTATTGTATTAAAAATGATTTTAATTTATTAGAACTAAATGAAAATATGACATTAAATAGGACGCAATGGAGAAAAATGATTCATGTAGCCGACCCCACGTGGTGGGATTAAGGCTTTGTTGTTGTTGTTATTGTGTAAAAGATGTCATCAAGTTGTGTCAGGGGTTTTTTTTTTTATAAAAATTGCATTATTGCATTAGTCATTTATTAAATAAAATAAATGTGGACCTTTTTCTTAAGGTAATTAATACTCACCCATTTGGCATTTATATTTTATTATTATCATAGTAAGAATAATGGGGACGAGTCTTAGAATGGGTATCATTTTTCATTCAATACAATGGGTATGTCTTTTATTCATATATCCCATTTTTTTGATAAACCTAATATTTATTCTAGGTTTAAGTTAATGATATTTATAATATAAGTGAAAGTGTGCACATAAATAATCAAAGATGAAAAAAAATATCATAATTATATATAATTTTAAAATTATTTTTTTTGGCCTTGACGTGAACGAATTATATATTTTATAATGGGAGCTATGCTTGGTGAATTATATTTAATTTTGAATCTTTTTTAAGTTTTGTTGATATATGTTTTTGAGACCGTCTTAAAATATCTCGAAATATGCCCTTCTATATTTTAATGTTAGTGACATAGGAGGCATCACCCATATATCATAATCAGATCATCAGATGATCGACTTTTAATGTCACCAAACCATCTAAGACGACTCTCTCTAATCCTGTCTGTCTCTAAAGCTACATCAACCCTTCCACCTAAGCATTCTCATCTCCTCAACATGTAAGTTAGTTTTATGCTTCTCTTTTACACAATTAATATGTAACTTAGTTTTATGCTTCCCTTTGGTTTCTTTTTTATTTTGGCTTAGGCATAAGGTCTTTTGCAACTAATCACTAATAATGCACTTTCACCCATTTTCATGTCCAAACTTCTCTCCTATGTTTTACTGATAAAAGAAATAAAAAAGATATAAATATTATACAAAAGTTGAGGATCATATACATAAATTATGTTTTAATAATTTATGTTTTACTAATTGTATTGTATAATTATGATTTTACTGATAGAAAATTTGCTTCAGTTAAAATTTTAATTCAATTAAATTCATTTAGATTCTATATAATGAAAATATCAGATTATATTTATTTTTTAATTCCCGTGAGGAAGTTAGAAAATATAATTTATTATTTTATCCAAATTAATTTTAAATTTTTTTGAGAAAAAAATATTACATCTATATAATTAATTACAACTAATATCTTTAATTATTTTTGTTAATAATGTTTAATTATATAATTTTCATGATTAAGAAGGCATTGATTAATTCTAAATGACTCAAATCACAATAATCACATTCGTGAAATTTAATACTCAATTATTTGCCTTGAATTATATGCATAATGATAAACAAGCACAATCATAAAACTCAATATAATCAATCATAAAAATAAATTTATTTCCAGCTTTACAATGGATATATATAATGTTGCTCGCCGGATGATTCACGACAAGATACTAAGAAAGTAGCTGCATGATGCATTTAAGAATATTTATGTGAAAAACCAGGAGAGGTAAAAAATCGCAGGGTCTAGTCCAATTGAATTGATCCACTATAAGTTTGTTAGCATAAAAATAAATCACTTATCCCACAATCGGGAAAGTGTTACAAGGATTTATCCAAGTACTATGTATTCATACAGAAATGTCTGTTGTAAAAAGATCGAAAGCAGTTGTTGCTGAAAGTTATCGTTGGGTCTTTGATACTTCATGTTCGGGGTATGTTGTTTCATAATATTTTAAACAATGTGTTATCCTATATGCAGGAGATTTCGACCCTTAATAGAGTACTCAGGTACTCTGCAATGCACATCGTTACTTTTCGGGGCATTTTGTTGCTCCTCAATGTGTGTCGTTACTCCGCAATAAACTTTACTACTTCGTAATGTGCAGCGTTACTCCACAGGGTATTTCGTTACTCCATAAAGTCCACCAATGGTAGCGAACAGGGGGCGATTGACGTTGGTTGATGGTGCCTGACGGCTACGAAGGTTTGGAGTTATCACCAGTCTTCAATCAAGAAAAACAGTAGAAAAGAGCTCCTTTAATCATTCATTTCTCATTCCTTCAACTCAAGAGAGGGGTCCATTCATATAATTCAACGGAAGGGCAAGAAGGGTCTCCTGCGTCGGGTGAGAAGAATTCTTAACTAAGAAATCTTCATGTATCTTCATGATTACCATATGTTTTTGTTGGACGTAGTTCCTGTTCCAAAAAAAAAAGACTTCAACTGCGTTAGCCTCTTTGCCTACGACTCCTTCAATTTTTCCTCTGATTCCTTCAACAATCAAGCGAGCTTTCTTCTTGGTTTTCCAAGCAGACACCTCCGCTTCCCTTCTAATCATCCTCGATCAGAATTGATTCTTATAGAACATAAGATTAGCACCATATAATGAGGCGTCGGAGACCCAATGCTTGATGGAGTGGTCAAAGGCATGACTTTCTTGTAGCAACTCAGCATCAGCCTGAGTCTGCCAGGATTGGTTGTCCAGGACAACCGACCCAGAGTCTTGTGCAGAGTATTGGAGAGCCATTAAATAAAAAGAAAGAAGAAAATCTAAGAACGAGAGGAAGGAAAGAGCAAAGTAAGCATGCACATACTACCCTACCCCCCTTTATATATATAGGAAAACATATGAATTCTAACTGTCACACAAGGATATAAATGGAAGAAAAAAATCCATTTTTGTGATAAGTTATCTGCAGGCTCGCATCAACACAAGAAACGAGGCAACAAACATATTTTTATTTCAAAAATTAAACTTAGATTACAACGAAGTGCTCAGAAATTAGTTTTGAGGCAAAGTATTTCATAAGAGGATGTAACTGCTTCGACTGAGACATGTTTCATCCGAAGCGGCCTTCGGGTAAACCTCCTCCTTGGGTTGGCTAGTTCTATTTCCAAGGCCTTTCCGTGACACATTATTATTGATTGTAAGTCCTAACTTTTGAATTTTATCCCTTTAAAATTTTGAATTTGGATTCATTCATCACCCTTGAAAATTCTGATTTTGAAGTGTCTAATCTTGAAATTTGAATAATATAAATCAGTGCTTTAATCATAAGTTTTCTCCGGAGTTTCACAACTTTGGAGGGGTAATTAAATATAAGGGTTTGCCCTTATAGGGATATCAGACCTTAGAATAAAATAAACCTTATCTTACACTCGTAAAGTACGGGCAAAATTTTCGGTTTACGTATACCCATAAATCTTAAAGAATTATTAGATCTATTTTAAGATGATATTTCTTCTTATTGGGGTGATATATTATTCTTCAAATGACCAATCAATTATTCAGATTGAAATCGGTGGACACACTTGAAACAAAACAATAATAAGGGTATGACAATTAAGGGCCTAGCAGGACTTTAAAATGAGTAGAGTGGACAATAGTAGAGGGAGTATATTGGTTGGGCTGTCAAAAAAATTTGTCGTTTGTGAATAGCTGTGTTCGGTTTGTCATGTTGCTTATGTTCGTTCATTCGCTAAGTGAGCTGAACATGAATAATTTTTTTAAGCTTAATTTATAAACGAGTCGAAATCAAACAAAAAAAAAAAAATTATTCGTGTTGCTTGTTTTGTCTATTTATCATATATGTATTTATATAAATTTGTATATTGTATTTAAAAAAATACTTGATTTTATTATTTTAAAAAATTGCTTAATTGAGATAATGATTAAAAAAAATGTATGTAAATGACCCTAAAAAAGGCTAAAAATCCCACCCCATCTCTTCCCTGCTAATTTAGGTGTTACATATTATTAGGCTGGTATGCATGCGAATTCTCCAAACATTTTGAGTTGTTCCATGCAGTTGGTAACAAAGGAAAGTGGGGACTGCATTTCCCAGATTATGAAGGAAGGGATATAAAAGTCAATAAGCTTTACAATGCAACTGACCAAAAAAACTATATCCGAACTTCAAATTAAGTTCGGTAAAAAAAAATTATTTTTTTAATTTAATAATAATAAAATAATTAAACATATTTTTTTAATCTTATGAAATCGAGCAAAGTATAATTGAGCCAAGCTGAATATGAGCTTAATTAAAAGAAAATCATTTGAATTGATCTGAACAGGAACCAGACTCGAGCTCTCTCAAGTTTGGCTCGTTATCTATCGGTGTGAGTGATTGTGTGTAAGAGTGGAGTGTGTGTGTGTGAGTGCGGGAGTGTGTTGAGAGACTGGGCTTAGCCAAGGAGATCAAGTGAGATGTGTAAGACCAACAAATTGAAGAAAATTTATACAACAAAACTTGAATTGAATTCAAGGATTCTTTTAATCTTTCTTGGTAATTTCATTTGTAAACTCTTGTGATTGTGGGCTTGAAAAAATGGATGTCATTGTGTTAAGGATTCAATCATGTTAGGCCATATGTTCTTTACTTTGGATTTGTGAATTTTCATTTTTATTTTCCCTCTTTAAGAATTTAATTTGATATTGTATTAAAGTTCAGTATTTACTACTACTCCAATCTCTTTTAGCAAAGTGTGGTCGCCATGCACTAACTTAAAATCATTTGAAATTTTGAGATATCGACATAGTCCTAAGTTTCAGTTAAAGGTTAGTAACTAAGGTTTGTTAGAGTAGATATACATCAACTAATCTTTAGCAAACATCTACTAAAATTAGTTTATCAACTTTAGAAGTCCTTAGTGCATAAACATAAAATATTATGAACTTTTAAAATTACAATTTTTAATTACAGACAAAGATTAGGAACTTCTATGTTCTTGATTGATAGTAGAGCTATTTTTAAAATTATAATTTGGGAAAATTGAATAGGTAAATTTGCAAGGCCGAAGGGTTATCTCAAATTGAATATTTGTAGCCCTATTCTATTAAAACTTAAAAATTTTCTGATTTGACTAGAAGTTAAGGTTTTGAAAATTAGTATTTAGCTTTCTAAATAGTGATTTAAATTATCCCTAATGAAAATGATCTTGGACTTAATCCATATATATTACTTAAATGATGCATGAGTTTTTGCGAACTATGCATTGACTGGATGAAAACCATCAAAGAGTTGGACCCTTAATAATTCAAAAAGTCTAGTTAAATAAAAAAATCCAAGCCTTGGTTATTTTAAATGTTGGGAATTTATATAGGGGAATGAGCAAGACATCCTTCATAAAAGTAGCATGGAATCTATGCCTGTTGCTGCAACTGATATGATCATTAGTATACCTCAACAAAAGCAAATTAAGGCCCAAAATAGAAATACATTAAGCTAACTCTTTCATGATTTACTCTTTATTTCATGGAAGTGAAAACATCAAGAGATATGAATGCTTGCAACAAAATAGGGATGGAGATGTTACATTGATAAAAAAAAGGATGATGACATATAGGTGATGTAGGCAGCATATGAGTGATTAATTATGATCAATAGATATGTAATGGGGCTTTTCTAAGCTGGTAGAATAGTCTTAAGGGTGTTTTAGGCTAATTAGAGGGTGGAACTAGTTGGATATGTTTGTTGGTGGCCCAGATCTTTGTTGTTTATCCATAAACAGATATTCAACTTCAACTATTAGGACTCCTCCGTAGTAAAAAAAAATATAACTTGAAATAAAAGTGGAATGAAGTATTGGATTTATAATCAACATTTGAACATTTTTATAATTTTTTAAGTTTTCTAGGTATTTTTGGAACTAATCTTCAGCCTAGTACAATAGAATCAACGTTTAGACAAAATGGGGCAATGTATTTTCAAGAAGTATAAATCTCTACTCAAGACTCCAAATGACTTGATATTGGATTTAAATGAAAGTTAATAAAGCACAATTTTAATCTAGCAATCATAAATTTTTCTTAAAGTATTTTTTAGATATGCGGGGAAAATGGTATAGGACGGAGTTGAAAATAGAACTTAGAAGTGAAAAAAAATAAAGAAAATTTATGGAGAATAAAGTCAGATGTGCATGAAACTAGCAATATTTTCTTATAAATTTTATCGGAGTAAGTAGGGATCTAAAAGGGGTACAAACAAAACCTAGGTCGGTGAAATCCTAGTTCTTGGCTGACCCTTAGGGTTGAGTTTTGATTGGAAAATTTGAGATATTTGGGTGTGGGATCTAGTCACAACATAAATTGGGGGTCAATACACAAACCTCATATCAAAATACAAAAAAAAAAAAAATCAAAGAGGAGAAAATACACAAAGATTAAGGTTTATTGACTCGCTTAAGCGAATAGAGGATGAAGAATCACCAAATCTTTCATATTTTGGTTGTCCACCAAGCAAACCAAGAGTAATAGATACTCACTCTATACACATTACCTATATCAGTGAAACCCTAGTTCTTGGCTGACCCTTAGGGTTGAGTTTTGATAGGAAATTTCGAGATGTTGGATCTAGTCACAACATAAATTGGGAGTCAATAGAAAAACCTCATAACAAATATTAAAAAAAAAAAACAAAGAGGAGAAAATACACAAAGATTAAAGTTTATTGACTCGCTTAAGCGAATAGATGATTAAGAATCACGAAATCTTTCATATTTTGGTTGTCCACCAAGCAAACCAAGAGTAATAGATACTCATTCTATAATTTCTTCAAAATAACCTTAGCTCATCAAGTTGAAATAATGTTATTTTTAACATAACAAGCAACCATCATCTCGCCCCCCTCCCCCTCACCCAAAAGACACACCCTTTCAATTTGAAGGGAAGGAGAGAATGAGTGACCACAGTTCCCATAAACACCTCATGAACATGCCCTCTTTTGGTTGCATTTGACTTTTGCATATGAAACATTACTCCCAACTATAAATGTTGACTTATTGTTAACATTCCTATGAAATAAGTTTACAAAGTGACAAAACAACACATTAACTTACACATGTACACAACCACATCAAATATAACACATAAATATTTAGAAAATATTTTCAAATAAGAAAATTTTCTCTAATGAGCTTTCAAAAATTCCTTTTGGTTTGGCTTCTTGTAATTGGACCACTTGGATTTGTGGTAGCTCTCTTGGATTGAGCTCTAGTGGTGGGCCCACCTCATATGCGTATGGACCCCACTTTTGAGCCATCATGATTTGTCGTTTCATTCTCATATGGCTTCGTGAAACTCTTCTTATGAAGAGTTATTTTGGCGACATTGCTTTTTCAAAAGGTTTAACAATAAAGGCAAT